AATACTCAATTTTGAGTAACCATACTTCTTTCAAGTTAAAAAAAATGCTGTTCAACAGAAAAAGTGACAAGTTCCAGATGCAACTCAACTGCATAAGCACTTTTCCTTAAGATGCTCATATTAGGTTGCCTAAGTGCTTAATGAAAATTTCCCATTTCATCAAGCAATATTAAAAACACATACATTCAAGGGCTGAGATTTGATAAAATTATTTTATTGCTTCATCAGTGATATTCTTAAGTGAAAATGGTTTTTAACTACAGGTATAGTACAGTTCAGTGCTACTGCCTTGATTCATGCAAAGTGCAGTTTCACTCATTATTGCTTTTGCACCATTAGTGCAAATGTCAATGAGATGAAAAAGGCAAATACTTACTTATGAAAATACTCTGACGCAGGGGAGCCCCTCCCTGGAAGGGTCTCAGAGGTCCTCAGGGGTCCATTCACCACACCTTGAGAATAGCTGTTCTAGCACAAGAACTGCACCCTCTTTGTATCTAAATTTCAAACACAAAATTCTCTAACCACTACCTCTTCTCTTCCTAACCCCAATTCTCCCTTTGCATGTACCCTAACTCCCTTATCACATCTCCCTCTGCATACTCACCGAGCAAAACCCCAGTTTTGGTTAAATCCATTTCTCTCATATTCATACAGGAATAGCTGAATATGGATAAAAAAAAACACCATCATCCTAATTGGTCTCACTTTGAAGTCACAACCACTAAAAAAATGAAAGCCCTTACTACCGTAATTCTCTAGTCAATACCCTCATTCTTCTAGATTTTAAGATCTAAAAATGAGAGGATTATTTCACATTTTCTCCTATCTTCTCAAACCTCTAACACCTCTTCCCTCCTCCTTGCACTTTGTTGAGGACCTTGCTTCTCACTTTACTAAGAAAACAGAAGCAATCAAAAGAGAATGTCTACACATCCTCCTACAAACTCTATTAACCTAAATGCAAATGGACCTCATGCTCTGCCTGACCATCTGCCAGAGTCTACAGTTCATGCTTCTATCTAAGGCCAACTCCTCCATCTGTACACTGGATCCCAACCCCACTCAGGCTACTCAAGGACAGTAATCCTACAGTTTTCTCCTCTCCCTCCTGCACTATAAAATGTTCCCACTTCTTTGGATCATCCCCAAAAATATATAGCCATGCTGCAACATCTCTGACCTTAAAGAAAAAAAAAAAATCCCACAATCCCACATCTCCCAGAAACCACAGCCTCCTATGTTTGCTCTCCTTTACAGCAAAACACCAAGAATTATCTAAAAGCACTATCAACAGTTCCATTCCTCCCATTTTCTCTTGAACTCCTTCAATTAGGCATTGCCCCTATTTCTCTACTGTAACATTTCTTGTCAAAATCACTAATGTCCTCCTCCTTGCCAATTTCAAGGTTCACTTTTCATGCCCCTTTACTCAAACAGCTTCATTTGATGCAGCTCATCACTCTTTCCTTAAAGCTTTTCACATGGCCTCCGGTATTTAAGTTCGAGGTAGACTAAAAAAAAAAAACACCACCATCAAGTCAATTCCAACTCACAGTGACCCCCTTTGGGTTTCCAAGGTGGTATATCTTTAGATTGCACAGTCTTCTTTCCACGGAGTGGCTGGTGAGTTTGAACCGCCAACCTCCTGGTTAGCTGTCAAATGCCTTAGGCACTATGCCACCAGAGCTCTTTAGAAGTAGAGGAGGGCAAAAAATGTTTGACACCAAGTCAGTCAAGTATCTTCATGCTATGGACTACAGGATCTAGTGGTGTGCTATCTAATGGGAGACTTGGGGGTGGGGAGTAAGATCAGGCTGTTGAATTAAGTTTTATGCTCAAGTTTGCAATAATAACAGAACATCTCAGTAGAAATGGAATCATAAGGATAGAATTCAAATTTCCTTACACAATAGTTGGTCAATGACCAACTTTGAATGAGTTTCATCCAGTACAGTGGTATAAACCATGGCCTACAAAAAAGGATTTAGATTGTTCTTTCAGGCCTGAGACTACCACTTGCTTCCAAAGACTTTGTGTCAGTGACAACAGGGATGATTGGTGAAGTGAGATCCTAAGAAAAATATGATGATGATGATGACGGCAGTCCACAATTACTAGTCACTCCAGAGAAAAAAGCCTCATAGTGCAGTGGTTAAGTATTCAGCTGTTAACCATAGGTCAGTGGTTCAAACCCACCAGCTACTCATGGGAAAATATGTGGCAATCTACTTCTGTAAATACAGCCTTGGAAACCCTATGGGGCAGTTCTACTCTGTCCTATAGGGTCGCTATTAATCGGAATCAACTGGACACAATGGTCTTATTTTGGTTTTTACTCCAGGGAATGCACACTATACAAGGAAGGAGCTCTGGTGGCACAGTGGTTAAGTGCTCAGCTCCTAACTTAAAGGCTGGCAGTTTGAACCCACCACCCACTCTGCAGGAGAAAAATGTGGCAGTCCATGCCTATAAAGATTATAGCCTTAGAAACCCTATGGGGCATTTCTACTCTGTCCTATAAAGGTTGCTAGGAGTAGGGATTGACTCAGCAACACACAACAAGCACTATATATTCACGATAGTACGTAATTTTCACTCTTTTCTTAAGAAACAGGGACTTCCATCATCCCTATTTTACTCATACAGAGTAGCTTGCTCAAAATCAGTCACTAGCGAACAGAGCTAAGCTCTGGGGGTAGGATTATAAAACTCTAAATCTCAAGCTTCCAAGCAAAGTCTTTATTCTGCTTCTTGCAAGAAACTTCAACTGGGTAGGTATCAACTGTCAAAATTCCAGATTGACTATAAAGTCTCCTCAAGGTAAATGGCAAAAGCAACAACACATGAATCTCTATGCACACAAGCATTCTCCTGTACTTCCTGTTGTTGTTGTTGTTGTTATGTGCCCTCAAGTTGGACCCGACTCATAGCGACCCCTCCTTGGGTTTCCGAGGCAGTATCACTAGAGAAGTAGGATTGCCCAACTCTCCTTCCGAGGAGGGCTGGTGGGTTTGAACTGCCAGCCTTCTGGTTAGCAGTCAAGTGCCTTAGACACTATGCTACCAGAGCTCCTATACTTCCTATTACTATACTAATCACATGTTTGTCTTCCTATTCTTTCCTTGCCAGGTTAGGCATACGCACTGACTAAAATGTGGCAAACCCCCCCCCCCAAAAAAACAAACCCACACTCACCGCCATCAAGTCCATCAAGTGGGATCCGACTCATAGCGACCCCTCCTTAGGTTTCCCAGGCGGTATCACTACGGAAGTAGATTGCCCAACCTTTCTTCCAAAGAGTAGCTGGTGGGTTTGAACCGCCAATCTTCTGGTTAGCAGTCAAATGCCTCAGGCACTACGCCGCCAGAGCTCCCAAAATGTGGCAAGCAGTCTGCAAAACTTATTTACTACAGAAACAGAAATCTTATGCTTCACCACTGGTTTATCCCTTTCCAGTATTTCATCATACACCTGCAGATGGGTCTGGGTTCGGAAAAGCCCAGCAGAGGCCCAGGGCTGCTTCAGGCTCTTCACAAGCAAAAACAGAGTATGCTTACAAAATATAAAGCAGGGAGCAAAAGTGAGGCCTAAAGTCGCCTGGCCAAAGACGTTTTCTACAAGAGGAACTCAGTTCCAGGTGGAGAGAGAAACAACCTAGCCTCAAACTTAAGTCCAAGCCTAACCACCTGGCCCACTCCGCCCCAAGCCAGCCCAGCCCTGCCCGGCGGAAGCTCTTCGGTGAAGAGCCCACTGAAGCCGTCACCTTCAAGAGACATCCTCTGTCATAATGCTCGCAGCCCCGCCGTCCTTGCTCTTGGACGAAGGCGCCATCTTCCTGCGCCGTCGCCGCCATCTCTTCCACCTCCCCTCACACTCCACGGACCTTTACCCAGGATGAAAGCCACGTCTAGAGAGCCAGCACCAATTTAGCACATCCCCTCCCGCCGCAACAGTCACCCGAGCTAATATGGCGCGTGAGCACGTGACCCGGGGCAGCCGGATTTCCGGTTCGCGGGGCGACGGGGCGGAAGCTAGGGAGGTGCAATCTCTGTTGTCGACGTTAGTTGCTGTCTCTTCTGCTTACGGTAATAATTCTTAGGTTGCCTCTTGTTTTATCCCCATCTCTACCCGCTATTCGGGACGCAGCTTGGAGCGGGGGGATGGCAGCTGCGCGAAGACGCCTGGCGACCCCTGATGAAGGGTTCGGCCGCATCTACACCTGTGACAGGGCAGCCCCTCCCTCTGTCCCCGTTGGGCGTACCGGGCCTCGAGAAAGGGCGGAGCTCGGCCAGGCCTCGGGGCTCCGAGCGGGTCCAGGAGAGCGCGCTGACGACGGACGCCAGGGTGCTGGCCAGCTCCTCTCTGAGAAAAGTGATCCACGTCCCTTTACTTGCTCTTCATTGAAAATATGTGTTAACATTTATTATGTGTCAATCACCAGCTAAACTGTGGGGACAAAAAAGTGAGAAGACAACACGCCCCACCATGCCCTCATAGAACTCAGAGACTGAGAGTGGAGAAAAACATTAGAGACTCATTGAAATAAATGTAAGATTACAATTTTGAGACGTGCTAGGAAGGGGAGGCGTGTGAATTGTAAAAGCGTATTAGAGAGAATTGGACTTAATCTCGGTATCAAAAAACATTTCCCTGAGGAAGCGACGCGAAACGACTCGACGGCAGTGAATTTGGTTTTTGGTTTTGGTGTGTACAAAGTTCTTGTGGCAGGAGGGAAACGAAGCCTTTAAGGACTGCTGAAAGGGAAGGCAAAATGAAATCAAGCGCCCCAAGGTGCATACCTTAATATTACTCTTATTAATGAGCTAAGCCCCTGGAAATTTTTGTGAGCAAAGTTCCCCGGTGTTGGAAGAAAAGAGTTGCCTTTGGCTTTCTAACATGATGATTTCATGTTTCCTAGAGCGTATTTAAGGAGCGCTGGTGTTCCACTTTGACTTTGGAGTTACTAACTTGTCATTTTAATTTTCTTTCAGTTCTGTTATGCGTTGCTAAAATCATGGTGAAATGTTGCTCGGCCATTGGATGTGCTTCTCGCTGTTTGCCAAATTCCAAGTTAAAAGGATTAACGTTTCACGTGTAAGATTTTGCTATAGTTAAGTACTTTTGACTGTTATAAAAAGCAAGAGACAGTTCTGCTTAAATCTTCTATTTTAATTCCCAAGTTCTTTTTAAGTAATGTTTTTAGTTATATTGGAAGTGGCAGCCATATCTGTACATTTTTACAGTTAGTTAAGAAGTTTTAAGATACCTATCAAAGAGTCACAGGCTGGTTAACAAAAAAATCTCAAACTCACTTTTGCTGTTACTATAATTATTTTGCATTTTAACATACCTTCAAGGAAATTTAGGGTTGTTTATGTGTACTTTACAATCTGAATGATCTTTGCCCAACTGTATTATGTCCTTTCTATTTAGAAATAAATCAAGTTTATGTTATAGGGAAAAAAATATAAATTAAAAGTTCAGACCAAAGGTTTTTTAGCAGATGTTGCACATAAATCAAGGTGATCCTAAATTAGTATTTTAGGCATTCTCCTGACAACCATAGGAAAGGAGTAGTAAGATTTAATAATTATTTATTTGGTAAAGGTCTATTTTGTTGCTTTTATGCCAGACATTGTGTTGTGACTGGAGAAAGAGCTGATGGCTACTTTGCTAGGCAATAGGAAATTAAAAAGACGTGGTTATACCCTACCTTACTCTAAAAAAAGATTTAAACTGATTTTTAAACTTGGAAAAGATAGTGGTCATTCGCCTCTGGATCTCTCAAAATATTTCTGATCTCTAGAACTCCAAATTCTGCAGCTATTTTCTTCATTCGGTCTCTAAACATGTATAGGCCTGCTATGTATTAAATGTTGTGCTAAGGAGAAGAATGGAAATACAATAGATCCTATCCATCAGGTTTAAAGTCTAGATAGGTCGTTAGATAGGAGAAGTGCCCACTGCTATTCTCTATCATCTATAGATGAATAAAAATCTTTAAGTGTGGATCTTACTATAAGGTGTTAAATATCCATTAAAATTTGTCTTCTATATAATATGAAGAATATTGAAATGAGGAGTGTGTCTGCAGTATGATTGGTAAAATACTTTGAATATTTAAACTGAGAAATATGAAAGCTTGAAGCAGGATGGTTTCCTGAATATGCAGTTCCCAAGAGTTAAATTATCAATTTAGTCACAGTTAAATAAGACAGCCTTAAAAACCAAAAGCCAAACTCACTGTCATCAAATCGATTCTAACTCATAGCGACCCCCTTTGGGTTTCTGAGGCAGTAGATCTTTAAAAAAGTAAATTGCCAGTCTTCCTTCCGAGGAGTACCTGGTGGGTTTGAACAACCTTCTGGTTAGCAGTTGAATGCCTTAGGCACTATGCCACCAGACCTCCTTAAGACAGCCTTAGTTCAAGGATATATCAATAGTGTTTAATTTTAAAATAATTTTTGTGTTTTTTTCTAGATTCCCCACAGATGAGAACATGAAAAGAAAATGGGTATTAGCAATGAAAAGACTTGATGTAAATGCTGCAGGTATTTGGGAGCCTAAAAAAGGAGATGTGTTGTGTTCAAGGCACTTTAAGAAGACAGATTTTGATAGAAGTGCTCCAAATATTAAGCTCAAACCTGGGGTCGTACCTTCTATCTTTGATTCCCCCTCTCATTTACAGGTTTGTTTATAAGATACTCTTACATCCTTACTCAGTTTTAGCCTGGTTCATGATTTGTTGTTAGGTGGTCTCAATGTGGTGCTTTTGAAGAACTGTCACCACTTTTGCTAACGTTTTTGTTATTTGTTTATTCATTTGAAATCCATTCTTTGAGTTTTTAGTGTAACCTGCTGCTTCAGCTTTTGTAATACGTGGTAGGATGATTTTACCGGTAGCCATGTCTAAACCTTTATACATTTCTAAGGTTTGGTGAAGTTGACTTCCTTTAAAAACTACTAGTTGAGCGATGCCACTTCATGACAATCCCATGTGTGCCAGAGTGGAACTATGCTTCATAGGGTTTTCAATGGGTGATTTTTCAGAAGTGACCAGGCCTTTCTTCCAAGGTGCCTCTTCTAATTAGCAGCTGAAGGCATCAACTGTTTGCACTACCCAAGGCCTTTTAGAGTTGGTACAACTCAAGATTTGGGCCTGAAAAAAATGGAAGTTAACATAAGAGGGTAAACCAAGAGATCCATTGTACCATTCCAAAGAAAGGTGATCCCACAGAATATGGAAATTGTCAAACAATATCATTAATATCACACGCAAGTAAAATCTTGCTGAAGTTAATCCAAAAATGGTTGCAGCAGTACATTGACAGAGACCTTCCATAAATGCAAGCTGGATTCAGAAGAGGATGTGGAATGAAGGATATCATTGCCGATGTCAGATGGATCTTGTCTGGAAGCAAAGATTACCAAAAAGATGATTACTTGTGTATTATTGACTACGCAAGAGCATTTGATTTTGTGGATCATAACAAATTATGGGTAACATTGAGAGGAATGGGCATTCTAGAACACTTAATTGTGCTCGTGATAAACCTGTACATAGATCAGGAGAGTGTGGTTCAAACAGAATAAGGGGATACTGCATGGTTTAAAATCAAGAAGGGAGTGCATCAGGGATGTGTCTTTCCACCATACTTGTTCAATCTGTATGCTGAGCAAATAATGTGAGAAGCTGGACTGTATGAAGAAGAACATGGCATCAGGATTGGAGGAAGACTTACAACAATCTGTGACATGCAGACGACACAACCTTGCTTGCTGAAAGTGAAGATGACTTGAAGCACTTACTGATGAAGATTAAAGACTACAGTCTGCAGTATGGATTACATCTCAATATAAAGAAAATGAAAATCCACACAACTGGACCAGGGTATCATGATAAATGGAGAAAAGATTGAAATTGTCAAAGATTTCATATTACTTGGTTCCACAGTCAACACCAGTGGAAACAGCAGTCAAGACATCAGGTGGTGTATTGCAGTGGACAAATGTGCAAAAGACCTCTTTCAAGTGCTGAAGAGGAAAGATGTCTCTTTGAAGACTCTGGTGTGCCTAAGCCAAGCCATGGTATTTTCAGTCCCCTCATATGCATGTGAGAGCTGGACAGTGAATAAGGAAGGCCAGAGAAGCGTTGTTTTTGAGTTGTGGTGTTGGCAAAGAATACTGAAGGTACCATGGACTACCAAAAGAACCAAAAATCTGTCCTGGAACAAGTGCAGCCAGAATGCTCCTTGGAAGCGAGAATGGCCAGACTTTGTCTCACCTACTTTGGTCATGTCAAAAGGGACCATTCCTTGGAAAAGGATATCATGCTTGATAAAGTGGAGAGTCAATGAAAAAGGGGAAGCCCCTCAACAAGATGATTTGACACAGTGACTGCAACGATGAGCTCAGGTATAGCAAGGATTGTGAGGCTGGCATAGGGACCGAGCAGTGTTTCATTCTGTTGTACGTGGGGTCGCTATGAGTCGGAGCCAACTCGATGGCCCCTAACAACAACAACACAATGTTAAATATTTTTCTGGTACAATAGCTCTCAAACTTTAATACACATAAGAATTATCTGGGAGCTTATTAAAATTCAGACTCCTATACCATACTCCCAGAGAATTAAATTCAGTAAGTTTGGATTGGGATCTAGGAATCTGTACGTTTTAATAAGCATCCTCTATGATTGTGATGCGAATGTATGGATTGCATTTTTAAGAGAAACAGAGTATGGATTTTTTTTAAGTAATTAGTATCCAATGTAACATATATATGGAAAATACACACATTATAAGTGTACAGTTAAATGAATTTTTACAATGTGAATACTTCATGTACCTTCTTAGTCACTACACCCTAAAGCTAACTACTACCGTGACTTCTGTCACAGACAGTTAACATAAATGAAGTCATACAGTATGTACTCCAGCTTCTTCTCTCTCAACATTCTGTTTGTGAGATTTATCCGTGTTACAGCATATAGTAATGGCCTGTTTATTTTCTTTGCTATCTAGCATTCCATTATAAAAATAAACTATAATTTCTCCATTCAGCTGTTGATGAATATTCAGGTTGTTTTCACTGAAACGATTATGAACAGTGCATGTAAACATTTTGTCTGGGTCTTTTGTTATGTACACATTTCTGTTAGAAATATAATTGTTTTGTCCTTAGGATGTGTATGTTCACCTTTAATAGATATTGCCATTCTTTTCCAATGAGTTTCACAACTTTGTAGTCTCACCATCAGCATATAAAAGTTCCTCTGGTTCCACATCCTTACCAGCACTTGGTGATGTCAATTTTATAGAACATTTTTAATGACCATTTAGCAGGCAATACTATGTACGAATAATGTTTTTATGTAAACAATCATTGCTATGTTCATCATCTTTCACTGTTTTAAGCAGCACTATGACGAACATTGTAGCTTATTCTTTGTTCATATAATGTCCTTGAACTAAATTCTTGGAAATAAAATTGCTAGGTGAAAGATGATAGACATTTTTAAGGCTTTAACTTTTTAGGCAGATCTCCAAAAGTCCCCACTGAGAGCTTACCAATTTACTCTCTTATTTAAGAATATCTATATCTTCGCCCTAACACCCAGTATAAATTTTATTTTTAACCTTTGCTAGGTTTGATAGGTGAAAATGGCATTTTATTGTCTTGACTTATCTTTGATACTGTGTGTTTCTACATTTTTTCATATTTTTTTATTGGGCATTTGTATTTATTTTGTGAGTTAATTGTTCAGGTCCTCTTCTGTTTTCATCTTTTTATTGCTATTTTGTAAGAATACTATATATTGAAGCTATGAGTCATTTTAACTCCCATCTCTGTTGCAGATAGTTTTTGTTTTGTCTTATTTATGGGTTTAGGTGTCACTGTTTTTGAAATTCAGAATTTTTTTATGTCTTCAATTTTATTTTTTGTTGTTAAACTTTAGCCACCTTAAGAGTATATAAATATCCCCTACATTTTTTCTAGTTCCTTTTGATTTTAATTTTTACATTAATTTTTAGTACATATGAATTTCATTTTGGTTTTTTATATGTAAAGAGTATCATAGTTTTTCTTAATCGATAGAATTTTACAACATGATTTATAGCCTCTCTCTACTTCTTTAAAATGCCATTTTTTATCTTATCTTAAGGACATAATGGGAGCTCTGGTGGCATAATACCTAAGGCACTTACTGCTAACCAGATGGCTAGAGGTTCAAATACACCAGGCACACTTCAGAAGGAAGACTGGGCAATCTACTTCCATAGTGATATTGCCTCAGAAACCCAAGGAGGGGTCGCTATGAGTTGAAATCAACTCGATGGCAGGAGAAGGACTTATTATCTATTGGTCTGTTCTCTAGATTTTCTGTCTAGTCCTAAGAAAGTAATATGCCAGTTTAACTGTTGTTACTATGTAATAAGTTTTTTAATACCTAGTCAGGCATATCCTCCATCTTCTTTTTAGAGAAATTTGTGTTTCCAGGCAAACTTTGGAGCTCTGGTGGCATAGTGCCTAGGCCATTTAACTGCTAACCAGAAAGCTGCTGGTTCAAACCCACCAGCCCCTCCACAAAAGGAATATTGGGCAATCTACTTCCGTAGAGATACCACCTCAGAAACCCAAGGAGGGGTAGCTATGAGTTGAATGGACTTGAGGGCAGTGAGTTTGGTTTTTTTTTAAGGCAAACCTTAGAATTATTTTTAAAATGTTCTTTTAACATAATTACAGTGGAATTTAAAATATACTGATTTTTAAAGGCAATTTCCATGAAAAGCAATCCTGTATTAATTTCAGTATTCAAGTTAAAAAATGAAATTTTAAGAAAGGAAAGAAGAAACTGCAATGACTTCTATTAACTATTCTCAACAGGGGAAAAGAGAAAAACTTCATTGTGGAAAAAACTTTGCCCTCAAAACATTTCCCATCACAAACCATAATCACCAGCTTGTTGGTGCTTCCTCATGCGTTGAAGAATTCCAATCCCAGTTCATTTTTGTAAGTACGGTTGCTTACTGAGCTAATATTAATAATTTTAGGACAAGTATGTCCTCTCCATTACAATCTAATTTCATAATCTTAACTAAAAACTAGGAGAGTTTATATGTTTAAATTTTTTAAAGTGTAATATCAATTAATAAAAATGCTTTCCAGGTTCATTATAATTTACATATATACAGTAAAAACGTAGGGGTACTTAATCCTTTGGTTACATATTTAGTTTGCAGGGTGCTTTTGCAGGGATATTCCTATGAAGAAAATGGGATCGTGAATTCCTCCCTTTGAGTACTGTATTATGCATATGGAAATATCTAATTTAAGAATAGATAAGTCTTTATGTTTTCCTGAATACTAATCATACTCATACAGACTATTCATGCTTACATTTACTTATTTATCTTACTGCCTGGTAATGTTAGAGTCAGGTGTAGAATCCAGATCTGTTTTACTATGTTGATTATTGTAACATTATAATAATTCTTGAAATCAAGTAATGTTAGCCTTTAAACTTTGTTCTTTTTCAAAGTTTTTTGGCTGTTCTATGTCTTTGCATTTTTATATGAATTTTAGAATCAGTTTGCCAATTACTACAAAAAAAGCCTGCAAGAATTTTGACTAGGATTGTGTTGAATATATAAAGCAATTTGGGAAGAATTGATATCTTCACAGTATTAAGTCTTTCAACCCATGAACTCAGTCTTTCCTGCCATTTATTTTGATCTTTAACTTCTCTCAGCAGTGTTTTGTACTTTTTTATTATTATTATTGTGATTTGGGTGAAGATTTACAGAGCAAATTCACTTTCCATACAGCAGTTTACATATACTTTGTCTCATGACATTGACCACAGTTTTCCACAATGCAACAGCTCCCGTCCCACTTCCTCCCTATAGTTACCTCTTCCCAGTGTCTATCCCTCCATAGACTCCTGCCCCCTAAGCTGTTTTCCTGTGCATAGGGAGCCCTTCTTTCTCAATGATTGTTCTCTCCAAGGAGTGTATCTACCTCAGGTAAATGTTCAACTCATATGCCTGTCTT